TTGGCATGTGCTCTGAAGACTGGGGATTGAACCCACAACTTGGGTATGTGCCCTGATTGGGAATTAAACCCACTACCTTTTGGTGTAGAGGAGGATGCTCCAACCAAGCTACACTGGCCAGGGCGAGCTGTGACTCTCTTTATTTGGGAAATATATAGCAGAACCTGAATTTACCCTGACCTGAGGGAGATGCCAGATTCCACACTCATTAATAGTGGACCATTGAAATGTTTATCGGTAGTTTGTGGACTAGTGCATATCTAAGGCTGGGAGTAGGATCCAGTGAGGGGAAGGAAATGTCCTTGAAAAAGTTTCTCAGATGATCCTGATATCTTCTATAATAAAAGCCTAATATGCTAAGTGTCCAGTCGGCTATTCAATCAATCAAAGTGTAATATGCTAATGATATACTAAGGCTGCTCAACTGCTCGTTATGACATGCACTGACCACCAGGGGAAGATGATCAGACTGCAAGATTAGCTTGCTGCTGGGGTCCAGCCGATTGAATTGAGCCAGATGGGCTGGACAAGCCCTGGAGCCCTCTGATGGTTCCTCCCTGGCTGACCAACCTCCTGCATCTCTCCCTAGCCCCGATCATGCACTTGTGATTTTCCTTGGCCTGGCCTGTACCCTCTTGCAATTTGTACCCATCAGAGGATGTCAGAGAGCCAGTTTTGGCCTGATCCCTCAGGCCAGGCCGAGGGACCCCATTGATGCACGAATTTGTGCACTAGGCCTCTAGTATATTATATATTTCTTTTGAAAATTACTATGTTCTAAAAAAAGAGAAACATAACTTTTCTTTACTTGCTTTGTTTACAAATCTCACAAAAGAATGAAATTTTTTATCCTATGAAAGACAAAAAAAATTCAGACTTTCTTTGTTCTGTGAGACAGTTTTATATATATATATATGGAAATGATCTCGCCAAACATTCACTTATTTAACATATTAATAGAGTATCTCTTAGTTGCCAGATATTTTGGTAGGTAAAGGAGACAAAATGGCAAGTAAGATATGATTTCCACCCCAGGAAGTTTCTATAATAGATTTTATTTGCAAAAAGAGTGCAATGGCTATTTCAACTTGAGGGGACCTAGAAAAACTTCCACCTGAGGACAATTAAATCAGACATTCTCTAGGGTGATGGGAAAAATATAGGAGGACATATAGGAGGACATCAGTTAAATTAGTTGATGCATTGTGAACAACGATAGAAGCCTTGGGACTCTGCTTCGCATTTCACCAGTTGTCTTCCTTCCAGAATGAATGGGTTAACTGTTCTTTATGGGTTGTTGAAATCACAAGTGACAGTTTCACCTACCTGTCACTTAGATAAGAACTTTCCTTTTAATTCAAAGGACATTTGGTATGTCAGGGGTACCATAAGTATTAAGTTCTTAGCTGTAATGACTCTGAAAAAGGATTACAGATAACTGAAATATGAGAGTGAAAATATTAATAAGAACTTCATTGTTTTTAATCGAGTAAACTGTGTGTAAGGATTGGTTAGTTTTTTTTTTTTTTTTTTTTTAAGTTAGTGAGAATTTGGAATGCTTAAGATAAATAAATCTAGCTGGCCATTTTTAGTGTTTTATTGTTTGGTAACAGTACTTTTGTGGAAGTACCTCAATCCCCTTGAAAATAGTTTAGAAAAAATAAGTAAAGGAAGAGTCTCTTAATGTCCAGAATTAGTATCACAAAGTTCTTGAACTAAAGATCATGCACTCTGTTCATGGGCTATCACTCAGACATTCATTCTGAGCTTATTTTACTTTTATTTTAAATGAGTGATGTGGTTTTAATAAACTTTTTCTTAATCTTAGCCCTTCCTAACCATGGCAGGCTAGAAATAGCATACAAACTATTTTCATAAAGATCATTGAAAGACAAGATAGGGTGTAGGAAAAACCGTAAAATGTGGGTAAAGGAATTTAAATAGTCTTGCCAGAATTAAGAGTGGATAACACCCAAATCAGTGATTAATAAGTTATGACTTTGAAGACACCAAGGAAAGATATAATATTATCTATTTAAGAAGGTGAGGAAGTATATGTATTTTAGAAAGATGTATTTTTATCGGTAATGTTTAAAAATTGGAGTTTTATTTAGTTATTTTAAAATATATGTTTTTATTCATTTCAGAGAGGAAGGGGGAGGAAGGGAGAGAGAGAGAGAGAGAGAGAAAGAGAGAGAGAGAGAGGGAGGGAGGGAGAGAAATGTATCAATGTTGAGAGAGAATTATTGATTGGCTACCTATATCCTGCATGCCCTCTACTGGGCATAGAGCCCATAACCTGAACATGTGCCCTGTCCAGGAATTGGACCATTACCTCTTGGTTCGTAGGTTGATGCTCAATTACTGAGCCATACTGGCTAGGCTGGAGTTTTATTTAAACACTAGAGGCTCGGTGCACAAAATTGGTGCATGGGGACCGGGTTGGGAGGGGTTGTTGCTCAGCCCAGCCTGCACCTTCTCAGTCTGGGACATCCCTCTCACAATCCAGGACTGCTGGCTCCCAACTGCTCACCTGCCTGCCTTCCTGATTGCCACTAACCACTTCTGCCTGCCAGCCTGATCACTCATAACCACTCCCCTGACAGCCTGATTGATGTCTAACTGCTCCCCTGCCCGCCTGTTTGCCCCAATTTCCCTCTTCTGTTGGCCTGGTCAGCTATAACTATCCTCCCCTTCAGGGTTGATCGCCTCCAACTGCCCTCCCTTGCAGACCTGGTCTCTCTCAACTGCCCTCCCTTGCAGGCCTGGTGCCTCCCAACTGTCCTCCCCTACTGGCCATCTTGTGGTGCCATCTTGTGTCCAAATAGGGGCAGGATCTTGGACACATTGAGGCAGCCATCTTGAGTTGGAGTGATGGTTAATCTGCATATTACTCTTTTATTAAATAGGATAGAGGCCTGGTGCATGGGTGGGGGTCGGCAGGTTTGCCCTGAAGGTTGGGGGTTCCCTTGGGATGTGGGGTGGCCTGGGCTAGGGGCCTGTGGTGGTTACAACCCCCCCCCCCCCCCCCAACCTGGAATTTATTTACCTTTTACAATTGAAACTTTGTAGCCTGGAGCAGAGCCAAGGGCCCCCCCCCCACCCTCCCCTACTCCTTGGCTGACACCATTTCTGTTTGGTTTTATGTATCTTCTATAATTGCAACTTTGTATCCTTGAGTGGAGGACTAGGCTATCCAGGGTGTGTGGAAAGCTTGGCTTCCTCTATTGTCTGGGAAACCCAAGCCTCTCAATTGTTCTCTTTGGCTGCAGCCATCTTGGTTGGGGTTAATTTGCATACTTGCTCTGATTGGCTGGTGGGCGTGGCTTGAACAAAGTGATGGTTAATTTGCAAATTACTCTTTTATTAGATAGGATGCAAGCTCTAATCACATGGAAAATTAACATGGGTGGAATATTTTTAAAAGTAAATATATATTACTGAATTTCTAAAATTTCTCTTCAAGGATGAATTAGTTCTTTCTGAACTATTCACTTGGTAATATTTTGAAACTCTAAGAATGTATGGCATACTTTAATGTGACCTTCCCTTTACCTGCTTTCTGCCATGCTTAGAGCCAAAAGTTAGTAGAGACAAGTCAAAAAGCCAAAATTCTGAAGATTAAAGTTGGTATGTGAGTTCTCTGAGGAACACGCTAATTCTACATATTGGCAGAAGTTGAGACAAAAAAGAGACATGACAGCTGAATATCATAGGGGTTCATGTCCTTTTACACTAATGGCATTCCAGCTAATAGGTATAGCAGAAGTTATAAGAATGCCAAATTAAACATAATGCAGAGCCATTAGAAACATGGTGATAAATAAGAGATGGTTTTGAAGAAAGAGCATAACACCAGCTAGATTAGCGCAAAAACAGAATGTTCAGTCATTAAAAAGATAGTGCTGAGTACCAAATATCTGGTTATTCTGATGTCCAAAGGCACATCCTCAGTACTATTGTCTTTGCTTATTTTAGGAGTTTTTTAGGGGGTCACTGCATGCATCCACCTGTTGTGCCCCTATCATTCACTCTGGCTCTGTGACCAGAACACATCTGTTTCCCAAACACAGCATGACTTTCTATTTTATACCTCTTTATGCATCTTTGTTCCTGCTTCTCTACTTGCTTAGAATGCCTTTCTTTTCTCACAAGTAAATACTATTCATTCTTTAGTACCTAATTTTAATGTCTCATATATACACATATGTGTGTGTGTATATTTATATGTGTATATATATTTTATAAAGCAAGAATTGCTGCCACAGGCAGAGTTGAATATTTCTTTCCATTTGTTTGTGTAGTTCTTCATATATACTTGTGTTATAGCATTGTCTGGTAATGTATGTGTATGTTTACATATCAGCCTCCTCAATACTGAGTGAGCCTTGATTCTGCTACATAATGCACATAAATGATGTGAAGATATGCTATTTGCATAATATCCAACAAAGGAACAGCATTTTTATTTATTTATTTTTAGTTTTTACATGTTCAGATACTTATTGCTTAGCTCAGTCTTTCCCTTGGAAGGTTTGGTAATCTCTGCAGAGCCATTAACTTAGTCAACCTAAAAGATGGTTGTAAGGGCTTTCTTTTTAAAAAAAGTATATTTTATTGATTTTTTACAGAGAGGAAGAGAGAGGCATAGAGAACTAGAAACATTGATGAGACATAATCATCGATCAGCTGCCTCTTACACACCCCCTACTGGGAATGTGCCTGCAATCAAGATACATGCCTTTGACCAGAATCGAACCTAGAGTGTCCACAGGCTGACACTCTATCCACTGAGCCAAACCAGCTTCGGCGGGGCTTTCTTTATATCTTGTAAACTCCCACCAGAATAGATAGTGATATACCTTTGTATAAAACCAGAATTTGGGATCAATATCAAATTATAATTTATTTAATGGCACCATTATGTGATAAAGACACTGGACTATATTTTTTGTAATATTAAATACTATTTTGAAATCTTTTTCTGCCCTTTTCTATAGGGTTTCATATGTCCCCAGTGTATGAAATCTCTTGGATCTGCTGAGGAACTTTTCAAACACTATCAGGCAGTTCATGATGCTGATAATGATTCCAGTCATGGAGGAGAGGCTAACCTTGCTCTGAAGAGGTAGGTATAGTTTAATAGTTTTGAAATGCAATATCATTGTTTAATATAATAACTTAACAATGAACATAATTTAATAATTTAATTTTGAATAATTAGTTTGTGAAAATACTGTTTTTATATTATTTAATTTAAATATGACCTCCTTTATCATGGCCTCCCTCCTTGACTGTTATAATCTACTGGAGGCCCAGTGCACAAAATTTATGCACAGGGATGTGTATGTCCCTCAGCCCAGCCTGCACCCTCTCCAATCTGGGACTCTTTGAGGGATGTCCGACTTCCCGTTTAGGCCCGATCCTAGCCTAAACGGGAAGTCGGACATCCCTCTCACAATCCAGGACTGCTGGCTCCCAACTGCTCACCTGCCTCTCTTTCTGATTGCCTCTAACCGCTTCTGCCTTCCAGCCTGATCACCCCCTAACCATCCCTGCCAGCCTGATTGTCCCTAACTGCCCTTCTCTGTCCACCTGGTCATCCCTAACTGCCCTCCCCTTCAGGTCTGGTCACCCCTAATTGCCCTTCTCTGCAGATCTGGTCCCCCCCAACTGCTCTGACCTGCAGGCCTGGGCCCTCCCAACTTCCCTTCCCTGTAGGCCCCATCACCCCCAACTTTTCTATTCTGCTGGTCTGGTCACCCCTAACTGCCCTTCCCTGCAGGCTTGATCATCCCCAACTGCCTGGTCCCTTCCAACTGCCCTTCCATACTGGTTTGATCACTCACACCTGCCCTCCCTTGCAGACCTGGTCCCTCCCAATTGCCCTTTCCTGCTGGCCATCTGGCGGTGGCCATCTTGTATCCATATGGGCAGCCATCTTGTATGTTAGAGTGATGGTCAATTTGCATATTACTCTTTTATTAGATAGGATAGAGGCCTGGTGCATGGGTGCGCATCAGCTGGTTTACCCTGTAGGTTGTCCCAGATCAGGGTGGGGGTTCCTTTAGGGCATGGGGCGGCCTGGGTGAGGGGCCTGTGGTGATTTACAGGCTGGTCACGCCCCCCAGTGACCCAAGTGGAGGCCCTGATATCTGGGATTTACTTACATAATTGAAACTTTGTAGCCTTCAGTGGAGACCAGGGCTGGCCAGGGCGGGCAGGAAGCTTGGCTTCCTCCATCACCAGGGGCAATGCAAGCCTCTGCTTGCTTGAACTCCATGGCCGCCACCATATTTATTGGGTTAATTTGCATACTCGCTCCTGATTGGCTGGTGAGCGTGGCTTGTGGGTGTAGCGGAGGTACTGTCAATTTGCATGATTTTCTTTTATTAGATAGGATTCTGTCCTTGACTAGCAATTATACCAGCATCTATAGCATGGTACATAAATTATATATTAATGAAGATTGTATTATCAAAAGAAGGTTAAATTATGTTTCATATATTCTATTTAATTCGCTTTGTTTAGAAGATTTTATAGCAAGTTGTTAAAATAATAAATTTAGTTAATTATTAAAAAAAATTATAATTACCAGTACAACAGTAAGCACACACATATACATTCTGCTTCTTGGCAAGTTTGCCTGACCATTTTAAGAAATAAACTAAAATAGAATTATTTAAGACAGTATTCAACAATATAACTGCTTTTCTTTTGCTATTGGTAAGAACTCTTGTCTTATACCCTTATAAGGAAGATAGCTTGATTTCATTCTACTTGTAAAATAATTTTTCTTCATGCTTTTATTAAAAAAGAAAAGAAAAGATGCCTCTTTAATTTGCCATAACACCAAGAATACCACATAAAGGAAAAACATTATGATCACTTAACTATGGTTGATAGATCTTGTAGAACTATAAAATATGACTGTTTTAACCTATTAAAATATCTGGAAAACCAGTGCTTTTGGGAAGTATGAATCTTCCCTTTACCTGTTGGAAATGTTCGGTATTTTTATGTATGAGCTAATAATTTTGGGTACATTTCTTTGGTCATTTGTTAGGAAATAGATATAAAATATGTACTTAAAGCACATTATAAATTTTTAAAGCCTTTTATTGATTTTTAGAAAGAGATGAGAAGGGGAGAGAGAGAAAGAGAGAGAGAGAGAGAGACAGAGACAGAGAGAGAGAGAGAGAGAGAGAGAGGGAGGGAGGGAGGGAGGGAGGATGAATTGATGCGAGAGAGAAACATTGATTGGTTGCCTCCCGCCCTGACTGGTGATTGAATACACAACTTAGGTATGTGTCCTGACTAGGAATCAAACAACCTTTTGGTATATGGGAAGAAGCTTCCAACCAACTGAGCCACCCAGCTAGGCCCACATTATAAATATTTTTATATTTGATATAATTTATCAGAGCTGCTTTTTCAGCTATGACTTAGATAGTGCTCAGTATATGAACTTTCAACATAAAAATATCCACAGTTTAACCTCATTTTTGCTTTTTAACTTTCATTCAACTTTTAACTCATCAAGCCCTGGATTTTGCCCTACCATTCTCCTAAAACTGCTTCTTCAAAGTCCAAGAGTAACCTGGATTATTTTCAGTTCTTATTGTGTGAGCAGAATACATTTTTCTTTACCTTCCTAGGTTCTTTTGGCTATCCTAATAATTATCAAATCGACTTGAGACAGATTAACAAGAGAAAAAATAACCAAATTTAATTACAAATATACACAAGAGAGTTAGATATCCCACATACATAAGATATTCATAGATAGAAAGTAAAATTAGTTATATATGACATTCTGAGCTACAAATAAGATAAGGTGCCTTAAGGTTTCAGAGGGGAGGAAGGTCATTCCCAGGCTAAAAAGAGCAGATGTTGAATAATTAGAAGTTGCCCTGCCCTAGGTTCTAAAATGTTATTTTTGGTAATAACTCTTACTCTTATTGTGGGCAAGGCCTCAATTTAATTTTTTTAAAGGAAAACGAAAGATTTTCTTAAGCCTGTAAGACCTCTATTGCCTTCAGCTCAAAGTAATCCCCATGCAAAAGTAGCATATCTTGTGGAGGCCGGTTCTGAACCCCTCTAGTATGTTGACTTCTGTTTTGGTTCTCTATAACTTTGTAAAATTCACCCAAAATTTAGTGGTTTAAAATTATAAAGTTTATTACTATGATTCTGTGGTTTGACTGGATGGTTCTTCTGCTTTAAGTGATGTAGATTGAGGTGCTGGGGAGCGCAAAAGATCCAAAATGGCCAAAAATTCATTGTTGGGAGTTGGTGTGGGATGCTGGCTGAAAGCTGAGCTGGGGCTATATGTCAGGGGCCTTAGTTCTTCTTATGGATTTCTTCATGTGACCGCTTGGACTTACAGACCAGCATTTGTGTTCTGAGAACGAGCATTCCAAGAAGCAATAACCAGAAGCTGTCAATATTGGTCAAAGTAGTCACAGGATTACTCTAAAATCTGAGGGTCAGCTCAGATTTAAGAGGCTAAGAAGTAAACTCTGTGACTGGAGAAACAGCTTCTACAAATATGAAGGGAAGAACTTGATGATAGCCATCTTTGTAGACCACTACCATAATCTCTGCAAAATTTAGCTTTGCCGACATATGTTGTGATTATTTTTCTTGCTCTATTTTGTGCTCATTTTGCTCTATATCCACATTGTGACTTCCTCCTAAACTACCGAACTTTTCCATATATAAGATGCTCCCATTTATAAGATATCCCCTCACTTTTCCAACCCAATTCTTGTGTCTTCTACCATGGCAAATTAATAATGGCAAAGAATAAGGAGAATTTCTTTTTTGCTATTTACAATCCAACAATGGAAGATATGTCCAAACATCCAGAGAGGTAATACCAAAAGTATTTTATCATGGAATCTCTCCTGCATAAGGGCCAAGAATTGTCTTTGGCTTACCATTCTTTGTCATACTGACTCTTAGAAAACAATGTGAGAAGTTTCCACAGGAAAGAGCATATCAGGCTCAAGGAACAGAAATAAGTCAGTGTTGCTGGAGCTAGTGAATGAGGGGTAGACTAATAAGGTAAGGATTAGATGGTGCATATTTTATAGTCCTTGTTAATGAATTTAGATTTTATGCTAACTCCAATAGGAAAATATTGATTCTTATTGTTGGTCAATTAATGGGAGATTTGTTTCTGGCTTAACCACTTGGACTTCAGTTATATCATTCTTTCCGTGATAAAGTAATTTTCCATTTACAAACAATGAACTTTAGGAATAAAATTATTTTCTATATATATATATATATATATATATATATATATATGCCACTGTACATAAAATCTATAAAAGTTTTTATTTTTAATTGAGAAAACTAGAATATTAATATATTGACACTAGCCATGATTTGTTAAGAGAGTAGGTTGTTCACTGAAGAACATTATTAATTATCCCTCACCTGCTTATATGTTTAGAGATGATGTAACACTACTTAGACAAGAGGTCCAGGACCTACAGGCTTCACTTAAGGTAAGAAAAATATTATTATATTAGTTTATTTTCAGTGTTTCAGATAGTACATCTTTGAAAATTTGCTAAATAAAAATCTCTTCTCCCCCCCCCCCCCCCCCCCCCCCCCCGTTTAGGAAGAAAAATGGTACTCAGAAGAATTAAAGAAAGAATTAGAAAAATTTCAAGGGCTGCAGCAGCAAGTAATTGTTTTTAAATGCTTGAAGTGTGTTTATTGTATTTATTGGTTGACTATTGTCATTGTTGAAAATTAAGCACAGCACTTTGTTTATAAGCAGATGATTTGATATAAACAATTTACTAATTTGTTTCCTGGGTTTAATTGCCTACAGTGTATATCTTTTGTAATTCTAATGAATGCAAACAAGTATCTAAGAGATAACTTCTTAACGGTGCTCTATTAAAAACCAGTTACCGTGGATTTTTTTAATATATGTGTGTGTATACATACACACACACACACACACACACACATATATGTTAGGCTACATTATTGTATTTTAACAATGTACCAAAATGGTTAAAAAATATAGGTTCAAACAGTAGTGAAACTCTTCAAAGCATTTGTGATTTGTGACAAGTTGGAAATGACTAAAATGTCTTTTCGTAGGGAAAGAACTATTATTAACTGTTATAGTGAAAGTTGTTTGAAAACATGGGAAAACTTTTATTGCTGTTAGGTTTCAAAAAACAGAATAAAATATTTATATATATGTACATATACATAAAAACATGTAAATATTATATGACTTTACATAAAAATATAGAAAAAATAAGAAAATCACTGTTATCAAAAGTAGTTATCTCTGAGTGAGATTTTTTTGTTATCTAGATTCTTCATAGTTTAGTGTATTTTCTAAGTAAATATCTTAACCAGTTATGATTTTATACTGACATTATATTGGCTTTTAAACTAAAATTACATAAATTTGCATAAAGAATTGTGGAATAACGAATTTTGTCAAATTCATATATAGTTTTTATTTTTTTTAAAAATCCTCACATGAGGATATTTTTCCATTGATTTTTAAAAGTTTTTTAATTTTTAATTTTTTAAAATATTTATATTGATTTCAGAGAGGAAGGGAGAGGTAGAGATAGAAACATCAATGATTAGAGAGACTCATTGATTGGTTGCCTCCTACATGCCCCTATTGGGGATCAAGTCTGCAACCTAGGCATGTGCCCTGACTGGGGATTGAACCCAGGACCTCTTGGTCCATGGGACGACATTCAGTCCACTGAGCCACCAAGGCTGGGCTCCATTGATTTTTAGAGAGAGTGGAAAAGAGAGGGAAAGATAGTGAGAAATATTGATGTGAGAGATTGATACATCAATTGATTGCCTTCTGCATGCACCCTGACCAAGCCAAGATCCGGGCTGGGGAGGAGCCTGTAGCCAAGGAACATGCCCTTGACCGGAATTGAACCTAGGACCCTTCCTTCAGTCAGCAGGCCGATGCTCTAACCACTGAGCAATTATTTTTTACTGCGCTAGGGCTATAATTTTCATTTGTAAGAATAAAATGAATGCCCTTCAACAGTAGCTCTAATATTTTATAAAGTAACTAGGGGCCTAGTGCATGAATTCGTGCACTTTGAAAAGGAACTGTGGGTCGCAAGGCTGAGTGGGCATAGGGGCGGGTCTTGGCCCATTCTCCGTGCCCTCACCCGGCCCCTCCCACAGTGGTCCTGGGTCCCCTGTCTGCCCGAAGCCCCACTCCTGCTACCACTGTTCCCACATGCTGAAGGCACAGGCCCTGCCTTACCACTGACTATGCAGAGTGATTGGTGCCAGTGCCAGCAATGAGTGTGAGCACACTGTCCGTGGGTGAGAGCAGCTGCCCCGTCACCCTTTGGGAGGAGTGGGATGTGGAGAAAACCTCGGGGGCGATCAGGGCCAGCAGCTGCTGCTCGCACCAGCTGACTATGCCACGCAATTGGGGGGGCACTGGGCCCCAGCAGCGGGTGTGAGCGGCGGCTCTGGCACCAGCCATGGGTGTGAGCAGGACAGGCACTAGCAGCAAGTGCAAGCGCTGGGTGCAAGTAATTTTCAGTAACCACCAGAGGCTCACCCCAATGACAGTGACCGGAGCCCCGGCTTGGTTTGGCACCCCCACTCAACTGCTCCACTATCCTGCCGTGGCCCAGGCCTACCATATTCCGCACTCTGCCACCTGCTGCGCACACTTATAATGTTCTGCATGTGCCCCCTGGTGGTCATTGCACATTATAACGACCGGTTAAGTTGATTTGCATAGTAGCCTTTTATTATATAGAATTGATGATCCCTTTGAACATTATCTTAGCATGTTATGACTCTCAGTCAGTCTTTTTGCCTTTTAGTTTCTTTCACCAAAAATTGTCATTTGGACTAGAAAAGACAAAAATAAATAAGTGGGCAACACAATATCAGTCTTTTTACTATTCAGGCTCTGTAACTGAGATGGTATTTTTATAATCTAAAATATTTATAGATTACTCATCTTTTACATGGATGCTATTAAGAACTAATCAAATATGGGCTGAATTATCTTAGGAAGTTGTTAATTATATTTGAGATGACTGTTTCAGATTTAATAAATAAATTCTCTACAGTGAAAAGTGTAAATTGACTTGTTAGGGGATTTACCTTTAGGGGGAAATGTATTTGGAATATTGATGATTCTTAGCAATCATAATGTCCAAATCAATGGATGGAAAAAGAATTAGATATACTATGAGATGCTTTATTAAACAAACTGTATCATATGTGTATAACTCTTTAGACTATAACAATAATGACAAGACAGTATATTATTTTGTTCCTAATCCATGTGATAAATTAAACCTATGGAATATGTTTTTTATTTCTGCTTCTTTTAAAAATGACTTATGACTCTGAATTAAAAATTTATGCTTTTAAAGCCAAATTTTTTAGTAGTGATAGTTCCATGGCATATTTATCTTATGTAAATTTTCAAATATTATAGTATTAGTGTCCTGGTGCATGAAATTCATGAACGGGGGAGGGGGTGTCCCTCAGCCCTGCCAGCACCTTCTCCAATTTGGGACCCCTTGAAGGATGTCCTGGTTTACAGGGAACAGGCCTAACTGGCAGCTGGACATCCCTCTTGCAATCCGGGACTGCTGGCTCCTAACGACTCACCTGCTCGCCTGATTGCTCCTAACTACTCTGCTGGCCTGCTCACCCCCAACTGCCTCCTGCCACTGGCCTGCTCACTCCCAAATGCCCCCCGCCAGTCTGGTCACCACCAACTGCCCCCTGTGTCAGTGTGGTTGCTCCTAACTGCTCCCTGCTGGCCTGCTCACTCCAAACTGCCCCCCTCTGTCCTGATAATCTCCAACTGACCCACACTGATGACCTTCTCACCCTCAACTGGCCCCCCTGCTGGTCTGCTCACCCCCAACTGACCTCCCCCCACCCCCCTCACTGGCCTGATCACTCACAACTACCTTCCCCCCTTGGCTTCTAACCACCTCCTCTTTGTCCCTGCCATCATGGAACATCCGGAAGGTGTCCCAGTCTAATTAGCATATTACCCTTTTATTAGTATAGATAGAGGCCTGGTACATGGGTGGCCGTTTGGTTTGCCCTGAAGGGTGTAATGGATCAAGGTGGGGGTTCCTTTGGGGCGTGGGGTGGCCTGGGTGAGGGGCCAGTGTAGGCTGGCCACACTCTCATGGGGTGAGGGTCCCCGCTGGGGGTGTGTGTGGCCAGCCTGGGTAAGGCACTGAGGGCTGTTTTCAAGCTGGCCACACCTGCTTCAGGGTGCGGATTCCTGCTGGGGTGCCTGGCCAGCCTGGGTGAGGGGCTGATGGCTGTTTGCAGGCTGGTCAGGACCCCAGTGGGGACTCTTACTACATGGTGGCATGGCCAGCCTGGCCACACAGAGGTCAGGGCCGGCTGGAAGCTTGGCTTTCTCCATCACCGAGGGCAACCCAAGCCTTCTGCTCACTCTAGCTGCCATATTTGTTGGGTTAATTTGCATACTCACTTCTGATTGGCAGGTGGGCATAGCAGAGGGATGGTCAGTTTGCATGTTTCTCTTTTTATTAGTGTAGATAGAATTTTGCCTGCTGAGTTATTTGATTTACAATTGTAATATATTTACTTATTAATTGGGATAATTTATATTTATTACTGAATTTTGGAATTTAAGATGTAATCTATTGCAAGACACATATTATGGTATTTTCTTACAGGTCAACATAAAAACATTCTTAGAACCAGTGAGTTACGGTTAATTGTTATGCCAGTGTGCCTAGTATTACCTTAGAGCAGTGATCGGCAAACCGCGGCTCGCAAGCCACATGTGGCTCTTTGGCCCCTTGAGTGTTCTAACACCACTTCTTCAAAATAGACTCGCCCAGGCTGAAAACTGCATGGGCCACAAAGTTTTAATTGCACTGTACCTGTGCACCCGCACCTGGTATTTTATGGAAGAGCCACACTCAAAGAGCCTCATATGGCTTGCAACCCACTGTTTGCTGACCACTGCTGTAGAGATCTGAAAGAATGTGAGCAGGTCAAAATTTAATTTTCATCAATACATTATTACTTTCCTGACTGAATGTGGCTTTCAGATATATTTTTTAAGCATTGGCAATTGTAAGAGTATTACTTTCTTTTTTAATGAATTTGTTTATGTCTTTTGTTTAAATTGAGGTGTCTAAACCTGATGGATTGGTGGCTGATTCATCAGCAGGTAACTTTACTTAAAGCAGATATTTTATTTTTTCTCATTCTTTTTTATTTTTTAATTTTTCTTTTATTTCTGCTGTATGAATTTTGTTTTGTGGTTATATTTTAATTGCTCTAAAATAGTGAAGATAATAGTAATAGACCCGTGAACTTTATAGTTAAACAATTTAGTAAAAACAGCTAATATTTTCTTAGTTCATTATATTCTGAAGTTATAAACTTCTGGAATATTACATCAATCAATATGGTTACTTAATGAAAAGTTAAATCTATTAATCAAAGAGTGATGTACTCTTTTTCTCTTAAAATGATGAAACTAGCATCTTTGTAACTGACTATAACTGGAGGAGTGCTCAATGAATAATCAAAATTATTTTTGAGGTTAATTTTCTCCTGTATTTAATTTCCCTCTGAAATTTCTCTTTTTTAATGATAATTAAATATTAGCAATTGCCTGCATATTTTTAATTGGTTATTTTACTGAAGACCTTGATTGTTTTCCTTAAACCATTTCTCATTTCATTTCACATTATTACAAATTTTATCAGAGAAGCAGAATATATTCCTTTTTTAATCAGTTGACAGATATAGAAAAATAACTATGAAATACAAAATCAAAATAATTTTTAAGCATGTATTTGTAGATTGGGTCTGATGCTAAATAGTTCTTTCATTTATTTTACATATTTATAAACTATGACTTGTGTCTTGAATGAGACAGATATGCTTAATTCTTAAAATATGAAGATACTGGTAATTGGCAATAGACATGTTAATTGTTTTTACAGCAATGATTATGATATAAGTAATTACAATTTAGCAACTTGTAATTAACATTATATGTAAGTAAATATACTTTTTTGTAGAACTTCACTCTTTGGAACAACAATTAGAAGAAGCTCAAACAGAAAATTTTAATATTAAACAAATGAAGGACTTATTTGAACAGAAAGCAGCACAACTTGCCACTGAAATTGCAGGTAAATTGATTAAGAATTTTTTCGCTAACATGTCAGTTTCATTTCCTTTTGTCATTATACATCCTAGAAATAAACATTGTATTTTAGTGATAAAGTATTTATTATGATTTTGGTGGTGATTATTGGAATTTAATAACAGAATTACTATATAAATTATTTTGTTTCTCCCACCTACTTCCTTCAGAGGACTGATTTTCTCTATAAAATTCTTCTTGAGTTTTAGAGAAGATAAATTTTCCTTTGGGGTATCTTAAAGGTTAACAAATAACATTTTGAAGATGTTAAATAACATAGTATAAATTGAACCTTTGGTTACATATGTTATTATTTTTTTAACTACATGCTTTAATGTTAACTATTATATGTGATTAAATATACACTAAAATTCTATTTAGTAGATTACTTATATATACAAAAACTTTTTATTATTTTAAGTTTGTTACTTCGTGTAATCGGCAGTATACTTTTATTACATATTTATGATTATCTAAGGACAGTGAATCTGAATTAAGTAATATATAGATATGCACTGCAATGTACAGGAATTTATAAGACTTTTTTCCTTAAAGTTAATGTCATGAAACTAATATATATATATTTAATATATATTTAATTGCCTTTAATTAGATATAAAGTCAAAATATGATGAAGAAAAGAGTCTTCGAGAAGCTGCTGAACAAAAAGCATCACATCTGACAGAAGAATTAAACAAAGAGGAAACTATAATTCAAGATCTGAAGACTGAACTGGTAATTTACAAACCATTTATTAGAGTGTACCTCTATAATCTTCTAAATTCAAATACCTGTTCTGATGAAAAATATTTAAAAGTATAGCTTGAGTAAGGTAAAATGTAGGAAATAAAAAAATTCCCTACAGTTCTTCTACCTGTTTCCTGTATTCTAGATATGATTTTTAAATCAAAACGGAATTTTATGATACATAATTTATAACCTTAACGTTTTTGTTGTTTTTTATCGTAATATCATCTATCGTTTTTGTAATTTCCATATCCGTATATTTCTGATCCTGACCTTCCCTTGCTCTTTAGTCTTATAAATCCACCTACTTTTAGGATATTTCTAGTTGAATTTCTAGCTTTCATTTCAAATTCAATAAGTATATAACCCATGAACACAGATAGTAGTGTGATGAAGGCCTGAGGTGGGTCCGGCAGGAACAGGATGGAGGGAGCCAATGGGGGAAAATGGAGAATATCTGTAATACTCTCAACAATAAAGATAAATAAAAAATTCAGTAAGTATAACATCATGTCATCATATTCCTCCTAACTATATTTCTGTCATTGGTATTGTACATCTTCACCACTCTTCCTTAGGCTTAACAACTTTGGATCTGTTCTTGACTCCTTTCTGTTCTTTATTTAACAATCAATAACTATGTGAATGAATAAATCATCTACATTCAGTCTGCAACAAATCCTAATTATGCTTACATCTCCTTCATTTTTATAGAATAGAAAATGAAGGAATGTAAACATTTATCAAGTGATTGTTACCAATGGGTGTAGTTTGTAAAGGAAAAGAAAACAAATGAAGAAATGCAGACAATTGTGAATTTGCTATTTTGCACCTTGAGTGGTAATGGTATTAAAGAAGAGAAAAGGCTTGTTGTGGGGAAGAAATCAGTGTTTGATGTTTGGAGTTCAGTAATTGAGATTAAAGATTGTTTTCATTTTGATTTCTTTGTAGTAGAACCATTGAAAATATTTATAATTTTAGTTTTTCATTGTAATTTTTAATTAACATGTGTTGTTGCTTCACAGCTTCAAAGACCTGGTATAGAAGATGTTGCTGTGCTAAAGAAAGAACTGGTCCAAGTTCAAACACTAATGGATAACATGACTTTGGAACGTGAGAGAGAATCTGAAAAACTCAAAGATGAGTGCAAAAAATTACAAGCAGATTATGCTAACTCAGAGGTAATGAGGTTCAGTGTATTTAAATGTGATTGACATTAACTTGTTTATACGGTAGAAAGAAGCCAGGATTTGAGATTTTTCTGAGTGACCTTTCAAAACAGTATTTCACTTCTTTCATTTTCTCTATGAGTAATATTAGTATATAGACAATATGGTCTGAGAGTCACTATTTTGTCTCTGCTTTATGTAGCTAGGCATTTAGAGAAGAATGTTTGCATAAATGTTTAATTTGCAATTTAATAAATGATGTATATTGTGTAGAGATGATATTTAAAGTTAAATTTGCTCCTGGCTAGTAAGTGGTAATTGAATTTATTTCAATTAGGTAGGGGTAATGGAAGCATTTCTGAGAAGTGATAGACAACTCTTGCTAGATGATGTAGAGATTCATATTTCTTCATAAGTCAGCCATTCTATTGAGTTAACATTCATTTCTCTGTAGTAATTTACGTGCACTAGATCCAGTTCTCCTCAAGAATTAAATCCTCTTTTCCTCATGAGATATTTGAAGGCTGTTTATATTTACTCTGAGTTTTTTCTCTTCCGGGCTAAACATTCTCAATTCCTTGTATCATTCCTCAAACATGACATGACTTTGGCCTGTAAATCCCTTATATAATTATGTCAGCATGTGATAAGCTCTAGGATATATAACAAATATATTTGTGTAAAAATACCAGCCTTTATCCCTTTTACTATATGATAAGAGATATTGTTATGAATACTATTATTTGTAGTTCTTAAGCTCTCTTTTGTGATGTGGACTTCAGTTTTTTTATATTTTCAGTTTAAAAGTAAAGTTATAGTGATCTTTCAATTTGTATCTCTGTCTTAGAGTTTTTAAGCTGGTGATCTGAAAGCTATTCTATTCATATGTAGCAATATATTGAGCTGTGGATTTTAAATATTGATAATCCATGCCATGTTTTACTTCTTCTTGTATCTTATCAATGGGGGAATGGTGAAGATCTATGGGTACAACACACATAGGCATATGAGGTTTTATGAGCCTTAACACTTCAAAGTTTAAAGTTTAAGAATTTTAGGTCCAGAATTCCCAAAAGTGATCTTCGTAGCCCAATAATACATAATTTCACAGTTTTACTAGCAGTTTCAGGGACTTCATGAACTAATTGAAGACAGTTAAAAGCTCCTAATGTGAATTAAGGAGAGGCTGAATCAAAGACATATCATGAGGGAAATCCCATTTAGCTAATACCAAAGTAGAAATACTTGAATCTGAGTGAATCTAATCATTTACTTCTGTGCTTCAAAAATTACGTTTCATTAAATCTGCCTGTCTACTAGTATTTCTCTCTCTCTCTCACACACACACACACACACACACACACACACACACACACACAAAAAAAAAAAAAATCATTCTGTTTTAATGAAAAGTTCCCATAATGTTATTTGAAATTTCAAAACAAATGCAATGGAGTGACTAAAATTGAATCACATCAATGGCAGTTTCAGAATATGTCTATTTAAAGTGCAATCCTCCTTGATCTTTTCAGCTGAGAATTATGGTATTATAGTTGTTATACCAGTAGAATTTGAACAAAGAGAATAAATATCTATATATTTATTTGCATTTTGGGGAAATACACATGGAAAAATACTTTTGAGTAATATTTTATTTAAGAATTACTCTAAGTTTAACCCTGACTGTTGTGGCTCAGTTAGTTGAGTGTCATCCCATGAACCAAAGACTTTCTGGTCAAGACAAATTCCCAGGTTGTGGATTCAATCCTGTCAGAGCACATGCAGGAGGCAACCAAAAGATATTTCTTTTTCACATTGGTGTTTCTTTCTTTCTAAAGTAAAAACATTAAAAAAGAAGGGGGAAAAAATGAATTACTCTAAGTTTAATATGAAGATTTTTTTAAAATTTATATTTTTATTCATGTAGATTAAAAGATCTTTATATGTAATGAGAAGGTTCTTTCAAGTTTTCATAAAAAACACTTGTGTTTTGAAGTAAATTTTAAAATAAAGGGATTTATTCTTGCTGAATAATTGGTGATTTAATATTTTATTATATTATTACTAAATCATAGATAATATTCCCTTCTTAGTTAATAGATATATAGTGATTGAGACCTCATTATTTTTTAAATATTTTGAACAACTTGAGGAAAAGGTAGCATAATAAAGTAATATTATTAGAAACAAACTTATTTTTGAGTACCACTAGTTTTGGATACTATGCTAGGCATTTTAAATATATAGTCCCATTTGTTTCTTTTAAGCCTGTGAGTTAAGTAATGTTTTAAATTTGTTTTATATATGTGAGGAATCTGAGATTCAATGCCAGGCACCTAATATTAAGGCCATGCACCTAATATTAAGAAGTGGGCATTAGAACTCAAGTCTTATCCAAAGTATGTGTTCTTTCTATGTCAATCTATCTTCAATTTTAGTTGATCTGATGGTTTGCCTTAAAATTAAATGTGTTCTGTTAAACTTAACCCTAATACTTGTTGTTGTGACTTTTTGTATTTTACCATATTGTATATTATAATATTTATATTAAGTATAGCTTAAAATTTATTTTGAGTTGTGTCTCACACCATTTACATGAAAAAATTTCTGTCTATATATTCCATCTCATTTAATTATTTATAACTGCATTTGTTTTTAGCTTCTGCTTGCTCTCTAAATATATGGCATATATTTTATTAATTTATTAACATTTAATTCTATTCTCAGCTAAGTGTGTTGGTAAATTATAGCATTTAAGAAACTTAATTGAAAAAATTTCATTTTATGTGTTAACTATTTTACTGAACCTAAAAATTAGCATGAAAAACAAAACACATTAAAAGAAAACAAAGAAGCTAAAAAATGCAATGATTTATTTGGTCTTCCTAGTGGAGGCTGAAGATATATAACTTGGTGTGCATTGTTAAATAGGTCCTTATGTTTCATTACTTTTATTATACATATACCTTATGAATTTATTGACAGTTTTAGATCTAGATATTTTAAGTGGCATATAAATCGCTCATTCTAAAAAATTTGAAAGTACTTTATAAATACTAATTAGCTATTTTATAGATCAGAAATTAAGGATTTAAAACTTTAAAAAGTTATTTGTAAGGACCTACATTATTGAAAATATTAAAGTTCATAATTGTCTTATATTCAGTGTGGTCTTCAATTTTTTAAGAATTTTATTTCTATTCTAAAAAAAATCATTTGAATTTAGTTTTAAAAGCTAAAATGTTGATAACGATATGGAATAGGTATGATTATATTCAGCATAGTTATTAAAAAGTATTTATCTTTTAAAAGTATGTAATATAAGACATCAGATTTAGCGGTAAGTTTTGACATTTTTATTGTGTGTTCAGTGTGTACTTTTGTCAGTCCTGTTTTCCATCTTTCATCCATCATTTTATTATTTTTTCTGCTTTCTAATGGAGATGCTTAAACTTGAGGTAATGTGTTTTTGGAAGACTTTTAATATTATTAATACTTCTATCATCATATGGCATTTTTGTGTTTTAAAGCAACCTCAGAACTTCAAAGATATGCTCATTTTTGTTTTTTTAATCATACACATTTTTAGCCATCTTTAAGTAATTATTTTACTAAGTAAGAGTAGTAGACTATTAGGACAATAATAATAATTCTAAACTACCAGCAGGATGTTTGCTTGAAATATCTTTCCTTAATTATTTTGTAATTTAAAGTTTTTGAATGAAAGTTTAATGTTGAATTCAATGATATGGCTCCAAGGAATATGAATTATTTATACATCTAATATATGGTTTCCATGGAACAATATCTGTTAATTCCTTGGAGATAGAATCACTCATTCTTTTAGAGAGTATTTTTTTGAATGCCTAAGTATCAGCAGTTAGGAGTGGGGGATATAACAGTGAATAAGACAGTGCCTGCCTCTCATAAAGCTTATTGTATTCTTTTGTGGAAGCTGAATAATCCTATCTAATAGAATTAATATGCAAATTGACTGTCACTCCAAAATACAAGATGGCTTCCCCCATGTGGACAAAGATGGCTGCCCCCCATGTGGACACAAGATGGCCACCACAAAATGGTCAGCTGGGGAAGTTGTGGGCATTTGGGGGTGACCAGATTGGCAGAGAAGGACAGTTGGGAGAGACCAGGCTAGCAAGGGAGTATAGTTGGTGGGGGGGAGGGGGGACTAGGCCTGCAGGGGAGGGCAGTTAGGGGTGATCAGGCCAGCGTGTGAGCGCAGTTAAGGGCAATCAGGCTGGCCGGGAACCAGTTAGGTGTCCATCAGGCTGGCAGTAGAGTGGTTAGGGGGTGATCAGACTGGCAGGCAGAAGCAGTTAGGGGCAATCAGGCAGGCATGCAGGTGAGTGGTTGGGAGCCAGCAGTCCTGGATTGTGTGAGGGATGTCCAACTGCCTGTTTAGACCCAATCCCAATGGTTGGACATTCCTCAGGGAGTCCCAGATTGGAGAAGGTGCAGGCTGGGCTGAGGGACATACACCTCTGGGCATGAATTTCGTGCATTGGGCCTCTAGTATATAAGTAAACAAATTATAGTAGAGAGTCAGTTAATGCGAAGTGCTGTAAGACAAAGGAGTGTGGAGCTGACAATAATATGGGACTATTTTAGATAGAATGATCAGGAAGATTTCCTCAAGGAGCTTATGTGCTAAAGGAACTAAGTAAACAGGATTCAGGAAACAGAGTCAATGAAAGTGCTAAAGCCTTCAAGGCACTGATGAGCTTGGCCTGTTAAATAGAGAGGAAAGGGCCCTGGTTGGGTGGCTTGGTGGAACACTGTCTGTATACCAAAAAAATTTGGGTTTGATTCCCAGTTGTAGCAACTGATCTAGGTTTCTATTTCTTTTTCTTCCTCTCTAAATATCAATAAATATATCATTGGGTGAGGATAAAAAATGAAATAGGGAAGAAAGGCAGTATGGCTAGAACAAAGAGCCTTTTTTGGTTGAATTTCATCATAGTGATACCACACATTCTGGAAGGGTTTCCAAAGAAGTAGAATAAAAGATCTTTTGGCATTTTTATCACAATAAATTAGTAGTCTTCTGAATTTTCTTCCTTGAAGTTGAAAGACTTATTTATAATCTATGATGTAGGTAACTGCTGATATGTTTAGAAAGAAAACATTTTAAAGTTTGTCTTATTCATATTATAAAGTTTACATATGAATAAAGAATATAGATGATAAAAATTATAATTTTAGGAATGTAAAAAATAAAGTAAATCCAAAAAGCAATATTAGAAACATAAAGTTCTTTTGTTAATGTCACAAGAAACCATACTTAAAAGCAGTTCTTAGACTTTCTAAAGAGGAAGTTTTAATGCTTAAAACTTTCATGTATAGGAAGTTTATATTATTTTTTAATGATACATTGCTTTAAAAATAGAAATGACTTTTCATGAAAAAAAGTTAAATGTATTAAAGCATATTCATATTCAGCTCTTATACCTGATCATAGAGTGACCCAGCTTAATGAAACTATATATAACTTCCATTTGAAAACTTCTTTATTCAAATACTCACCATTACAGTAAAGATGATCCACCATATTTCAAGGTGATTCTGTGTTGTATATTTGCATTCAACATGCTTTTAAAAGAAAAAGAAAAAGTTATGCTATAGTAATTGGGAGAAAATTTAGGCATGATTTGCATATTTTCTTTAAATTCAGGAAAGTTAATGTACAGATTCAAAGCTAGTAAATTCAAGTTTGCAGTTTCATATGTACTTCAGATGCATAAAGTAGGATATAATTTTTTATTTTATGTATTATTAAGTAAATGTGCATTTTGGATAAATTTTAAAAATCATTTTTAGGTAAATTAAATGTAGGCAGGCAATAGGGTGGTAGGGTAAAGAACCAAATTGAAACTTCTAAGGATTATTTCAGTTTTACAGCAGCGACAAAAATATAATTAATCTTAAGGCCTTTGGATGCTTCCATTTATTTTTTATTTACCTGTTTGCTCTATTTTTTTTTTAGGCCACAATAAGCCAGCTAAGGAGTGAACTTGCCAAAGGGCCCCAGGAAGTTGCTGTGTATGTGCAAGAATTACAAAAACTTAAAAGTTTTGTTAATGACTTAACACAAAAAAATCAGGTGAGAATTTTAAAACTACATATAGTTGGGAATTGATTTTATGTATCTTAAATTTTGATCCTGTGTATTTTATTATATATGGACACAGAACAATGTGATATGTTCTATATATATTTTTTAGTGTTATGTAGCCAACTACCAGAACTCATCATCTTTTTGTTGTATTTTAAATCTTTATTGTTGAGATTATTACAGATATCTCCCTTTTATTCCCCTATTGCCCCCCTCTACTTGGTTGCTACCCAACCCCAGGCCTTCACCACCCTACTGTCTGTGTCCGTAGGTAAGAAATGATTAATCTCTTCCTGCCTCCCCAACCCTCTTCCCTCTGAGATTTGTCAGTCTCTTCCATGCTTCCATGTCTCTGATTCTATTTTATTCACCAGTTTACTTTGTTCATTAGATTTTTTGTTCATTTTTTAATTTTTAGGTTCAATTATTGATAGATATATATTTGTTGCTATTTTACTGTTCATATTTTTAGTATCTTCTCTTCTTAAAGAATACCTTTCAACATTTTCTGACATATTGGTTTGGTGATGATGAACTCCTTTAACTTTTTTTTATTTGTGAAGCTTTTTATCTGACCCTAAATTATAACAGAATAATCTTGGTTATAGGTCCTTGCTATTCATTATTTTGACTGCTTCTTGCATTTTCTTCGGGCCTGCAAAGTTTCTGTTGAGAAATCAGCTGGCAGTCATATAGGTGCTCCCTTGTAGATAACTACCTGCTTTTCTCTTGCTGCTTTTAAGGTTCTCGCTTTGTCCTTATCCCTTGGCATTTTAATTATGATGTGTCTTGGTGTGGGCCTCTTTGGGTTCCTTCTTTTTTATGTTTTTTCACTTCCTGAACTTGTAAGTCTATTTCTTTCACCAGGTAGGGCAAGTTTTTTATTATAATTTCTTCAAGTAGGTTTTCAATATCTTGCTCTCTCTTTTCTCCTTCTGGTATCCCCAAGATGCTAATATTGGTATGCATGAAGTTGCCCAAAGGCTCCTTACACTATCTTCATATTTTTGGATTCTTATTTCTTTTTGCTCTTCTGATTGGGTGCTTTTGCTTCTTCATATTCCAAATTGCTGATTTGATTCTCAGAATCCTCCACTCTACTGTTGAATCCTTGTAAATTATTCTTTGTTTCAGTTAGTGTATGCTTAATGTCTTTTCTTTTTTAAAATATATTTTTAATAGATTATTTTATAGAGAGGAAGGGAGAGGGATAGAGAGCTAGAAATATCGATGAGAGAGAAACATCGACCAGCTGCCTCTTGCACACCCCCCACTGGGGATGTGCCCACAACCAAGGTACATGCCCTTTAACCAGAATTGAACCAGGGACCTTTCAGTTCACAGGCCGATACTCTATCCACTGAGCCAAGCCAGTTTCAGCTGTATGCTTAATTTCTAAGTGGTCCTTTTTTATGTCTTTAACATTCTCACTAAAATCCTTGAAAATCTCATGAAGATCCCGAGTAACCTTATAACCATAGTTTTGAACTCTGTATCCAGTCATTTGCTTGCTTCCATTTCTTTCATGTGTGACATGTTTCTTTGTCTCTACATTTTGGCTGCTTCCCTGTGTTTGTTTCCATGTATTAGGTAGAGCTGCTATGTCTTCTGGAATTGGTAGAGTGGCCTTGTGTAGTATGTTTGCAAAAGGGCCCAATGGCTTAGCCTCTCTAGTCACCTGAGCTGGACATTCTAGGTGCACTCCTATGTGAGCTGTATGCACAGTCTTGTAGTTGAGCCTTTACTGCCATTGGCATCACTTGGTAGGAATTGAACTCAAGGCCAATTGGCTGTGAGGACCAGCTGAGTCTATAGTGGGAGAGTTACTGTGCAGGAAATACCCCTAAGGAGCAGGACTTGCTTCAGTGGGGCTTTGATGCTCATTGAGTCTGCACCTTGTGTGTCACTTGTGGATGTGAAGAGTTGTAATCTGCTGTGGTCTGAAGCTTTCCACCAGGAGCACTGGCTCTAGGGCCTCCAGGGAGGTACAAAGTCAGCCACTGCCTGGGACTACTTGGCAGGAACAACAGAGGGATCTGCAGATGGCTGCTTAGAGGTGCCCAGACAAAGCCCAGCTATGTGAAACAAGGCAGGTTGGTACTAGTACTAGGTCTTAGGGCTTTTATTGATAGGTTTGGGGCATGCTGTAACCATCTGCAGCTTGTTTGAGATATTTTAGCAAAATATGAAGCCTGAGCCAGGACATGCTGTTCCTATAGAAAAGCTTGGGTGTGACTGAAAATTGGATGGAGTGGAGTCTCAGGGAACCCCCTGGGTGGAGCCAAAAGTGTACTTCAGACTGATGGAGACTCAGATATGTCTACCAGTCAGCCCTGTGACAGGGGAGGTCCCAGCATAGGGTCAGTGACCATCTGGGAGAAAGTCACCCCCAAGTCTCTTACCTGATGCTAGACAATCCAATTCCTTCCCATAGGTGTCTGAGTCGCCCAAAGCTGCCAGGTGCTGGGAGTCTGAGTAAGTTCCTTTGCCAGCCCTTTAAATGGAACACCTGGGTCTCCAGCAGCCTCTGTGTCCAGCCACAATCCCTGCTGGTTTTTATAGCCTGTTGTTACAGGAACTTCTCTTTCCAGTTCTGGAACCCTGGCTGGGGTCTGGTGTGTGGCTGGGACCCCTAGCTCTTCAGGCGTAGCCTCTGAAGAGAGATTTCCCTCCTGATTAAAAAAATGGCACCCGTTGGTGTCAGATCAGCCCATTCTAGGCCTCCGCCCCTCCTACCAGTCTCATTGTGCTTTCTTCTTTACTTCTCTAGTTGTAGGACTTGCATTCAGCCAGCTTTCAGGTGGTTCTGAATGACGGTTGTTCTATATTTTAGTTATAAATTTGATGCCAGCATGCCCCAAACCTACTGCGAGTACACGCCTTTACTAGCACCACCAATTTGTTCTCTCTCCAGAATTCACCATATTGCAAAGCTGAAACACTATACTAATTAAACAATTCCCCATTCACTGCCACTCCTTGCATCACCATTCTTTCTATATTTATGAATTTACTTTTTTAAGTAAATGATAAGTCTAGTCATACAGTATTTGTCCTTTTGTGTCTGGCTTATTTTACATAAACATAATGTTCTTCAGATTTATCTATGTTGTAACATGTGTCAGAATTTCCTTGTTTTTCAATGCTAAACAATATTCTATTATATGTCTATATCATATCTCTTCATCTGTTGATGGATACTTAGATTGTTATAGTCTTTAGGTATTGTGAGTAGTATCAAAAGAACATGGGTATGTAAAGACTCAATTCTTAATTATTTTGGGTATGTGAATAGAAGCAAAATTTCTGGATCATATAATAATTTTGTTTTCAATATTTTGAGGCAATCACCATCAATAGTACATATCAATTCTCATAAATGCACAAGGATTCTCATCAGTGACACATTTTTGTCAACATTTCTTTCCCTCTCTTTTTCTCTCTCTGTTTATAGTTACCATACTAATGGGTATAAGGTGGAATATCATCATAGTTTATTTGCATATCCCTGATGGTTAGGATGTTGAGCGTCTTTTCATGTGCTTTTTGGCCATATAATGTTAATTGGGTTGTTTATTTTGTTGTTGAGTTGTATGAGTTTTTTTTTTTTTTATATGTTTTTGGTATTAACCTCTTATCAGATATATGGTTTACAAATATTTACCCTCATATATATATATATATATATATATATATATATATATATATATATTTTTTTTTTTTTTTTAAATATGTTTTTATTTATTTCAGAGAGAGGAAAGGAGAGTTAGAGAGAGATAGAAACATCAATGATGAGAGAGAATCATTGATCAGCTGCCTTCTGCACACCCTCTATTGGGGATTGAGCCTGCAACTTGGCACATGCCCTTCCTGGGAATCGAACTGTGACCTTCTGGCTTCTCTCATTTCTTAGGTTGCCTTTTCATTCTGTTGTATCTTTTGTTAAGGAAAAAACTCTTCTGTATATTTTCTCTACTCTTAATACCCCAACATCAAATGTGTGGATGTTCCACAGATTAGCAGTTCTATGGCATAAATGGGTGTCCTACAATTACCTCAATTCTGAAACTCTTTATGTGGAGAAATCATCATACGCTATACATTAAGACTGTGATACCCCTCCTTCAGATGTCAATTGGAAGTTTAGCTTGTTATCTATAATTTTGACCAGTTGGCTATAAATGGGGGTTTCCACAGTTCCCTTGTAGGATTCAACGAATTTTCTAGAGTGACTCTCAGAAGTCAGGAAAAACAATTAACTTACTAGATTTCTGGTTTATCAACTCAAGAACAGCCAGATGGAAGGGCAAGTTTTGTGGGAAATGGTGCAAAGCTCTCATATCTCCCTGTTTTCTCTCCACCTGTTCACCAACCCAGAATCTCTCCAAATCCTGTACTTTTGGGTTTGTAGGATGGCTTCATTATTTAGGCAAGATTGATTAAATCTTTGGTTTTGGAGATTAATTCAGCCTCTAGCCCCTCTCTTTGAGGTGGAGAATGTCCAGACCAAGGATCACTTTAGGACCTCGAAATCATTTGGTCTGGCCCTATCATGGCATTGGGGACGAAGTAATTAAATGTTTGACCAACTATAGCAAGCTAATTTTTAAGTGGATAGTTTTGTATGGCCTGAAAATGATGTTTATTATCCAAATGGCTCTTCACAGAAAAAAGGTTCCCCACCCCTGCCTTAGGGGTTTTCTAAAAAAATTACCTCATTAACATAAACTCATAGGTTGTTGAAAGGGGTTTATTATGAAAAACAAAATACAAATTTATTGTTTTATTGTTCTTATCTTAACATAGAAGATTCCAGGGGTTTTAGGAGTCTGTTCCAGAAATGGGGATGAAGACCAAATGTATATTTCTTATTGATACGGAATATTTGGACTGGAACCCGGATTCTTTGTCTGCCAGAATCGAAGAATGAATCCATGGACAGAAAATGGTATAGCAAAGGTAGAGATTTATTGAAGAACAAGTACAGA